GCCCCTTCCTCATCCCCCATTGTCCTCATCCATAGGCGCACAATTTATATTCAGTCTCTTCCTCCCTCCCTTTCCGGAGAACAGTCAGTCCACTGCCCTCCCATATCGCCTACTCTACTACAATGAACCGCTATTATTGTTCATCAGGTTTTTGAATCTCCTTTTTTTTTTTGTTGTTGTTGTTGTTGTTTTAATTAATAAACTTTTACACTTCTAAGAATAAATTTTAAAATCTAATAATTTTCAACCTTGTTTTTTTTTCTGCCCTGGGAATTGAGAGCAAACTTGTTTACATATAAACTTGCCCTTAGGCTATCAAAAGGTGTAGCCATTCAAGTGTAAATGGGCACATTGTTTAAAGATAGCTGCTGGTTGGAATTGGATTATCTGTTCTGGGTGGGAAGGGCTTGTCATTCCCTTTCTCCATTAAAATTAAGGTGTTAAGCTTTAAAACCTCTTTTTGGCAAGAGACCTTAAACTTTCAGAACTTTAAATTTATCAGATAGTAAATCAGTTACTTAGCATTTTCTCAAATCAATAATACCTCCACATGCCCAAGGATACACTTCACACAAAAGACATTTCCATATAGATCAACCAACCTCATCCAGACCCCACACAAGGCACTCACAGATCAACACCCCAGCGCTATACTAACTCAACACATCCAGATCTAAGCCTTCATCACTTGATTCAGCAGACCCTCAAGTTCCCCCAAAAGTTTCCAGCCATGTCTGAGAGGCAGCCTTGGGACAGAGGCAGGCGAGGAGCGAGCTGTTCCGGGCCTGGCTGCTCCCGGCCCGGCCTCTGTTGCTCTGGTCCATTCTACAACCAGCTGCTCTGGGTCTGGCCACTGCTGCTCCCGACCTGGCTGCTCCGGGTGTGGTTGCTGCTGCTCCAGGCCTGGCCACACCCGACCCGGCTGCTCTGGGCCCGGATGCTTTCAGCCCGGCCGCTCCGGGCCCGGCCGCTCCGGGCCTGGCCGCTCTGAGCCTGCTGCCCATGCTCCGGGCCTGGCCGCACCCGACCCGGCTGCTCTGGGCCTGGCCGCTCCTGACCTGGCTGCTCCAAGCATGGTTGCTGCTGCTCTGTGCCTGGCTGTTCCCAACCCGGCTGTTCTGTGCCCAGCTGCCCCGGGCCCGGCCACTTCGAGCCTGGCAGCTCCCGGCCTGGATGCTCCGGGCTTGGCTGCTGATGTTCTGGGTCTGGCTGCTCCCAACCTGGCTGCTCTGGGACCGGCTTCTCCAGGCCTGGGTGTTCCTGGACTGGCCACCCTGGGCTTGGCCGCCACTGCCCTAGGTCTGGCTGCTCCAGGCCTGGCTGTTGCTGCTCTGGTTCTGACTGCTGCTGCTCTGGGGCCTGGCTGTTGATGCTCTGGTTCTGGCTGCTGCTGCTCTGGGGCCTGGCTGTTGCTGCTCCAGGCCCGGCTGCCACTGCCTTGTGCCGGGCCACTCTAGGCCTGGCCGCCTCCATTCCAACATTCTGTCCTTTTTTTTCCTTTTTTTTTCTTAACGCATTTATGTTGCAATGTTGGCTGCTGGGTTGAGTTCTGACTTAGTCTTTGATTTTTTAAGATCTTTGTGTTCTTTCTTAAGTAATTTTACTATCTTTTGCTCTCCCTTGATTTCTTCACATTGAGAACTTCTTTGGTTTCTTCCTTCTTGTCCTGGGAGCTCAGCAGGTTGGCCTGTGGCACCCCTTTGTTCTCCCGGGGCTCCTGTGCTGCTTCAGCCTGTTACAGGGGTCGGCACCGCCCAGGAAGCAGCCTCCGGCCTTGGCTACATGGCCCGCGCTCAGCGGTCGAAGGCCCAGGGGCATCCCACCTCCCCCAGGGGCCCCGTCGCCCGGCTCCTTGCTGGCACCCAGCTGGCTGGTGTCCGGCAGGGGCTCCTGCTCCTGGTCGCGTTCCTCCAATCTGGAGCTTTTTTTCTCCTTCCTGCTAGGGGCGTCTAGAATCAGAGTCAACAGACTGTCCTCTGCGCGCAGTGTGCGTGGCTCCGGGGGCTCCGCTTTTTGCCGCTCCCCCAGGACTCCACCTCACAGCCCCGTCTCCCTCTGCTTGAGCCTGGTTCCCCAGGGATTGGCCTAGAACTGGGGTTCAGAGCAGTCGGGAGTGGGGCTCAGCACTGCCGGAGGTTTTGTTTCTTCCTGCCAGGGCAATCCAGCATCAGAGTCAACATTCCGTCCCCTGCGAGCAATGTGCGTGACTCCGGGGGCCCTGCTTTTCACTGCTCCCCTGGGATTCCGCCTCACAGCCCCGTCTCTCCCTGCCTGTGCCTGGGTCCCCAGGGTCTGGCTTAGAACTGGGGTTCAGAGTGGTCGAAACTGGTGCCCAGCGTTGCCGGAGCTCCTGTTTCCTTCCCTCCAGGGCAATCCTGCATCGGAGTCAACATTCCTTCCCTTGTGCGCAATGTGCGCGACTCCGGGGGCTCGGCCTTTCACTGCTCTCCCAGGACTCCACCTCACAGCCCCGTCTCCCTCTGCTTGAGCCTGGGTCCCCAGGGATTGGCCCACAACTGGGGTTCAGAGCAGTCAGGAGTGGGGCTCAGCACTGCCGGAGCTTTGTTTCTTCCCGCCAGGGCAATCCAGCATCAGAGTCAACATTCCGTCCTCTGCGCGCAATGTGCGCGACTCCGGGGGCCCTGCTTTTCGCCGCTCCCCTGGGATTCCGCCTCACAGCCCCATCTCCCCCTGCCTGAGCCTGGGTCCCCAGGGTCTGGCCCATAACTGGGGCTCAGCCCAGGCCGGGCTTTTTATTTCCTTTCTGCTAGGGAACGCCAGGTAGGCACCCAGCCTTCTCCTCTCCGGCTGCAGTTTGTTAGGTTAAGCTGCAATATGGCAGGCCATTTATGTGCAAAAGCTGCTGCCTGGAGCTCGGGTGGGTCTGTGGATTATGTCATGGAGTCCTTCAGCTAGGGTGTGGCAGACAGCGATGGCTGCCAGTCAGTGACATCTGTCTCTGAGTTTCCACATCTCCACATAGTAAGTCCCAATGCAGTGAACAGTGATTCCTGTGCGCGGACAGTCTAGCTTCTCCCCGTAGGAGTTTGGGTCCCCAGAATCTCCCCACAAATGAGTTCAGTGTAATCAGGAGCTTATTTCCCTTTGGGTTGAAAAAAGCAGCACACCCAGTTGTCCGCTGCCAGCCGGATACACACGCCTCTGTACCTTTTTCAGCTCTTGTGCACGCCTCAGTGCTCTTTCCTCTTTCCTTCTAGTTGACGAACTTCTACTCAGCCAGCTTTCCTGTGGTTCTGGGTGATAGACGTTTTGTCTTCTAGTTGTAGTTTTGAAATTGTTGTGTGAGGCAGCAGTATAGGTGCTTATGCTACCATCTTGGTTCCTTCGAACTTCCAGATTCTTAACCAGAGCCCCCGGGGTGTGGCAGTCCCTGATGTAGCAGCATTGCTTGGGGGCAGGGCCTTTTGCAGTGGCCGCCAGGCAGTGACCAAGTGAATTACAAGTACATGCTTGTAAGCCCCCGCCCCACAGGAGGATGAATTGCTTAGGAGCATTTACTTCTGAAGATTTGGTAATCTTTTATAATCAGTATATTCTTTAGAGCAGTGTTCTCTTATCCCAGAACCACTTTCCTTGTTGTTTCTTTCTTGTGAGTTAACGTGCTTATTAGGCAAGTTTTTAGATTCTTTGTCTTTCTTAGAATCAATTTTGACTTTTATAGGAGTTAAAGGGAATTGTAATTAAATTTGTACTTCTTAAAAATTAAACTCCATGCCAAATAAAGTAGTCAATTAGGTATCATTGTTTTATATTTATCTCTTACTATCTTTACTATTAGACTTTTTAAAAAATCCAATTATACTGATATTTGTAACATGTTACCTGTTCTTATTACTAGAATAAGTAATATTACATAAAATGCCATAGGTTGAGATAATTTCTAAAAAGGACAGAAATTGAAGAAAGGAATGGCAGGAAATTTAAGCACTCATTTTAGACTTAGATTTGCATCTATATATATAGCATCAAACTTTTATCAAGAAGCCTCCTATAACATTGCTTTTAAAAAACAAGCAAGAGGAAATGATTTAGTTCTTTTAGCTTATAGAATTGAAAAAAGAAAAACATCCCTTTTGTTTTCTACCTTAGGAACATATTTTTAATAATTGATACTACTGCAATAGTAACTTTTCCTAGGTTCCTGTTATTAAAGCGAAATTGAAATAATTGAGAATCATGCTTTGATCATGATCAAAGGGTAGAAAGGTCAATAGAGCAATAATCAGCACCCAGGTATTTTAAGGGGGAGGAAAAGTGATGGACAGGAAGGAACTTTTTCTCTTAGGGAAACAAAGTGTAACATCTTAATGGTAAAATATCTCTTTGCCCTTTTTAAAAAACCTGTAAAATGGAAATATCTTCATAAGTAGTTATATTTTAGGATTAAATAAGATAACACATATAAACAGTTTAGAGCAGTATTAGTAAGCCCTTAATAAAGTTAGCTGCTGTTGTTGTTATTTGGATTTCTTTTTAAATCCTCACCTGAGGATATTTTTTCCATGATTCTTTTAGAGAGTGGAAGAATGGGAGAAAGGGAGGAGAGAAAGAGAGAAACATTGGTGTGAGAGAGAGGCATCCATTGGTTGCCTCCTGTTCACACCCAGACTGGGGTCACAGATGGAGCCTGCAGCGGAAGTACATGGCCTTGACTGGGGATTGAACCTGTGACCCTTTGGGCCATATCCAAATAGCCAGGGCTATTATTTGGATTTTAAAAAAGAGAAACCATACTCAGGGACAGCTGATTATAAAAAAACCTGCAATTTAAGATTTAACAAAGTATTTAAGATATTAACAGTGGTACCCAACTTTTTCACCTGTTTGTTGAATTGCTTTGGGAAGTTAGAATAAAATTTAAATTCCTTATTCTGGTTTAATAGAATGCAAAAGATGTAATGACTATCTTACAAGTGAAATAAAATTACATTTATTCTTTTTTTCTTTTTCTTTTTTTTTTTTTTTGTACTTTGTTTCAGGTTTCCCCTCAAAAAACCTATAAGGTAAGTTGTTCAATTGTTCTTCATACATTTAGGTTAAATTTTCATTAGAATTATTTCTTTGAAATTATGGTGGATTTTTTGTGGCTTTTGAAATGTAGATTTTAGTTTAAATTTTCAAAATATTTTACAAATTAGAATGTAATAGATGTTTCTATTTTTTCTGGAAGATAGCATTGTTTTGATAACATTTTCAGTGTTTTTAATACTGAAAGTTCAAATTGGTATTAAGGTCACTCCCTATGAATTTTTGCTTTTATTTTCTCCCCCTTTCCTATTCTTTTTTTTTTTTTTTTTTATCATTACTTATTTTTATGGTTGATTCTATTACAGATTTTAAAATCTGTTGTGACTGTTTTTGATTGTGAATAATTTAGGGAGTGTAAGTGGGTTACTAGTTTTTGATGGGTTTTAGCATCTGGTAACTGTAACTGCCTTTAGTTAATGAACTTTGGCAAACTGGATCAGTCTTAAAAACTTTGAGACAGTAAAGGGAAAAATCCAAAATGTTCAGATGTCTGTACCCATATCAATATCTGCACATTTATTAATTTCCCAGGATTAAATGCCTCTTTCTTAACACTTGTTCTTCAACATTTTTCCCTTTTTCATCTTGTCATAAATATTATTTAAAATGTAGGTAGTATGTCATTCCTGCTTACCTTCATAGGACATTCATCATTTTTAATGACACCATAGTCCAGGATACCAATGTTAATCTTGGGATTTCAATTAACTAGTTGTGTATGCATTATAGTCAGTCTTATTTACTGCCTGGCCATTATCTGATCGGTGTAAGTTGATAGACCATAAGAAAATAATTTCAGTGTCTGGGCTTGCTTAAGAAAGACTGCTGTAACTAGAACTATTTGCAAGTTTTAAGTGCAGCTTCCCAGAAAATTTTTTTCAACTGCTAACATCAGTGCTATATTTATACAGTGACTTTAAATCTGGCCATGGTATATTTAGGTTTTGTAATGTATTGAATTACTTGAAGGCATTGTTTCTTATCTGTTAAATGAAAATATTAATGAGTAGCCTTTGAAAATCCCTAACTTAATTTAAGCAAGTATACCTAAGAATAAAACAAACTTTATTCCTGAATAGTAATTTTAAGCACTTTTTATAACCAAGTAGAGTTACTTGTAGCATAGACTAAAATTTAAAACTTTTTGAAAAAATAGCGAAGTTTATGAGACAGTGTAAGGTAAACTGATTTCTTGGTCTCTCTGTAAGACACACTTGATATTTTTAAATTAAGATTTTATTCTACTGACTGTTCTGTTGTACCTATTTGATTGCTTTGATTTGATTTAGGCATGGAAGTATTTTGAACCGAGAGTCACCAGCTGATAAGAAGCAGAGAGTTGAGCGCAGTGCATCACATGACTTCGACCCCACAGGTAAAAACAGTTTGTCCTTCGGAAGAACAGTGAAAGCAGTGGGTGCCTGATACTATCACGTCAGCTGCACAGCTGCCTAGCTGCCTGGACTCCTGTTCAGGACTCTCCTCTTCCTTCAGTTATAGCACAAGCCCTTTCCACTCAGGAGAAAAGCAACATTTTTAACTTCCAGTGCCTTGTATTCCACTGTGGAAGCTTCATTGTAAAGTGTATCATATTTAAAAAGAGTAATTATAATAGAAATAGTTTTTATATCATAACTGAGTATTTTGTTGCATCCAACGACTTAAAATTATGATAAAACATAGGTGTGGACTAATAAGTAAGTAGTATGTCATAAAATTAAATCTACAACAACTACCAATTTCCATAGTCATTTAAAAATTCAGGTCTGGAGTAGATTAAATGCAACTTCAAAATTGATTATCATTTTAGAGAAAGCAAATGAGAGACCCTTTGCTCAAAGAGGATTCTGCACTCAGAAGGTCTTTCACCTTTCCTAGCGTTTTCGTGTCAGTGGACTACTTACAGCCTTTGTTTATAGAGTTTTCCCTTCTTTTGCAAAATACGGGAATTAGCTTTCTCCTTATAAATGTACCAAGTATTTAATTGATAAAAATTGCTTGATAATTCAACTTTCACCATTTGAAACTGCTGTGCGTTCTTTGTGCACATACTGTTTTATTCAGTGGTATGTTCCTGTGACCAAAGATAAAGTAAGTAAATGCTGAGGTCCCAGATACATAAATATAATGTATTTGCTTTTAGATATTTTCACTTAGAAATAAAATTTAATTTTTAATAGAAAGTAAGTATATTTTTGTGTCTAATTAAGATGCTAGGAAAGAAAGAATAGAAAGTGCATAACTTACCTGCATCATCGATAGTAGATAAAATGAAACCTCAATAATCAATTTCAAAAGTTTTGATGGTGGGAGTTTATAATATGTAACTTCTAGATCTCCATTAAAAGATACTTTAAAAAAATTTTTTGACACCTGATTTTGACATCATGGGTCACTGAAGCTTTTACTTATAATTACTTATTGTCTTGCTAGCAAGGTATTGTTCATCTGTGATGTGACACATTTAGCAAAGTGATGTGTAGTGCTTCATAATGAGATTATTATAGTTTTTAGTGCTTTTTCTGTCTCAAATTTTCAGATGATGTATTTTGTAGACTATTCATGTTTTGTTTTGTTTGAATATATATTTTTGCACTGTCTTTTCTTTGGTAAATCTGTTAAATATGTCATTACCTGTGTTGTTTGTGACTATTCTTAAGTGCTGTCACCTGTGATGTTCATTTGTTTGCACGATTTAACTTGATCATGATTCATTCTTTCCCCCCATGAGTTTTCCCCTTACATTGGTCTCCATGTTTTCTATATCTCTCTCCTTTTCTCCCGCTCTGTGCAGATAGCTCCTCCAAGAAGACAAAGTCTAGTTCAGAGGAGAGTAGATCCGAGATATATGGTAAGCTCACATAGCCAATCAGCCTTGCACCGTTGGAGCTTGCTTCATGCTGTTTCCTTTTAAAAACAACTACAGCCTTCCTGTCTGCTCTGCATGGCATGACGCACTGCAGGGAAAGGGAGCTGGGGCCAGTGTGGCGGTGATGTGGAAGCTTAAGGCCGCTAGAAACTAACATTGTCGAGTAAGAATAGGCCATGTTACTTACTCATCTTTTCTTGTACTTTGTTCATGAAGGAAAGTGTCTTTCCTCTCTTTAGGTCAGGTTCCTCCATGTCACATGTAGCATTGGTGTCTTGTTATCTTCTTCCCATGTCCCATTGGCAGAGTTTGGATCATGTAGAATTTGTGTAATTTAATGTGTGTTAGCAGTTCTTTGGATCTTTATTTTTTGTTTATTTATTTTTAATCACCTCATCTTTTGGAAATGCTTGTATGATTTATCCACAGCAGTAAAATACTTTAAATTTTTATTTTTTTAACATGAAGTATTTTCTATGCCTTTCATAAGTCTCCCTAAACTTAGGAATGGACAATTTCAAAATGGCACCTTAGAATAACTTTTATAAAGAGCAGGTTTCAGCAGAACATCAGCTTTGTTTTTTTGTCCCTCCGTGTTCTCTCTTCTCCGCGTGTCTGGTTATGGAGTTCTCTCTCCTTCTCTCCATGTGGGTGTAGAGCCCTGTGAATCCGTGTGCGCTGGGGCTCGCAGCTGTTGGGTGCGCAGTTATAGGTTTTCAGGGTTCCGATAACATCCACCTTCCCCTTCAAGATGGAGCCAGTCGCTCCGGGAGGGATCCCAGCAGCAGTGGGGGCTGCCCGGTCAGGGGAGCCCCGTCCAGCAGTCCCCCACCTTCTCCTGGAGGACAGCTGTCCCTCAGCTCACCAACAAACTCTCCCTTTGTTTTCCCGCCCACTCTGTCTTGCAGTCTCCTCCCGGCAGCCATCTCCCTCCCCACCTCAGTCAGCCAGCTGGAAGGTGGCTGCAACACCCGGTTTCCAGAGGGCGGGCACCCTGGCTTCTGGCACGGAGAAGCCACACTGTGAAGCCCACACCTATTTCCTTTTGCCTTTGCCTGGTTTTATTTTCCCTCTTCCCTTGTTTTGACATCCAATTAGCTTTTTGAGAAAAGTGGCAGGGCCTGGGACCAATACTTTAAATTAATATCTGAAAGAATAAGCTTTTATTTTGTTAAAAACATATTTTTATTTTTATTGATTTCAGAGAAGAAGGGAGAGGGAGAGAGAGATAGAAACATTAATGATGCGAGAGAATCATTGATTGGTTGCCTCCTGCATGACCCCCACTGGAGATTGAGTCCATAGCCCTTGATCAGAATCAAACCTGGGACCCTTTAGTCCACAGGGTCACGCTCTATTTACCGAGCCAAACCAGCTAGGGCAGAAGTTTTTTGTTTAAAGACGATTCCAAATTCAGCATCAAAGGAAAACTATGTCTTCTCTAATACAACCAAAAGTCTATTAAATAGAGGTTCCCCAGATGTAGCTGTTTCCTAGCTTGATAAACATGAAAGGAAAATAATATATGACATTTTATAATTTATATCTCTTGATAAAATTATGAGGCCTCAGTGTTTGGTTATAAAGCAGTAAATCTTCTTTGTTAGATACATACACTTAGTTGTTTGCTTGGATTTTTGTGACCAGAGTTTTCTCTATGTAGTTAGTAAACCTTTTATAGGACAGTAGTTCAACAGGAGATCTCAGGTTTATGTTTTTTCTTCCTAAGTATCAGGCGCCACATAAGTAAGAAATAGCTTCTGAATTTCTCGAGACTTCTTTCTGTTCTCAATAGAGTTGGTTTATTCACCCCTTAGGAATGGGGACACTACCTTTATAGCCCCATTCATTTCGAGACCTTTACAACTTTGCATTTTACTCTCACCACCACCCCATTTGCCTAGATCTGTGGATCTGTGGTATGTATGAAAGCTTGTTGTTTGATTTGGATGTTAATATTCTGGTGATAGGAGCACGGCTAAGACATGCCGTTGCTGGTAGTCATAGGGAAGTGGGTGTGGTTCTCTGGGTGTGTGTTTCCTGACAACCCTTGAAGCGCCTTTTGTAGAAGAAACTGAACCAGGAGTCCCAAAAAGTATTTACAGAAGGACAGGTTTTTCAGAACTGAGTTAGTATTTGACTGCAACCTCTTTGGCATCACAAGCATGCTGTCCATTGTGTGCATAGACTTCTTCAGGCTGTGTGCACTTTGCGCCTCTGGGAGCCACAGGCTGTCCTGGAAGATGAGATGAGAACAAAGAACTGGTGACATTGTGCAGGTCTCTTAACCAGCCAGCTTCTAACTTCTGAGATTGTACATTGTCTTGGATTAAAATTTATTAACTGGATACTAAACACAAATGTCATTTATTCAAGTATAAATTATATTTATTTTAAACTTTCTAAGTCATTTTCAGAGCTGTTTTATCAGATGGATTTATTTTCCACATTTTAAAAGGAGCCCAAGTGTTTGTTTTGTAGTGATTCCTTTTGTTAATTTCTTGCCCAAGGCAGTAGGCCAGTATTTCTTCCCTCTCACCTTATTTCCTCTGTACCTTTTGGAGTCTGTTGATGATACTAGTATACAGGTGTAGTTTTTGATCTGCAATTTTTAAAAATATTAAAAAAATATACTTTATTGATTTTTTTACAAACAGGAAAGGAGAGGGATAGAGAGCTAGAAACATTGATGAGAGAGGAACATTGACCAGCTGCCTCCTCCACACCCCCCACTGGGGATGTGCCCGCAACCAAGGTACATGCCCTTGACCGGAATCGAACCCGGGACCTTTCAGTCCACAGGTTGACGCTCTGTCCACTGAGCCAAACCGGTTTTGGCTTGATTTGCAATTTTAATATTTACTTTTCTCCCCCCCCCCCACTAATATTATAATGGAGAAATTTTGTGGGGTATGAGATTAAACAAGGGAATTTTGAGCTAGACTACTTCTCCTAACTTCTGTCTCTGTTTCATGAAGAGATTCCAGCTGATAGTATTTTGTACAATAAAATAAACAATGCCTTTTTGAAGCTGCCTCACTCTGATGGGGCTGCTATAACAAAAAGTCAAAGACTTTCCTTGAGTAACAAGAATTTAATTATTTTCTCATAGTTTTGGAGGCTAGAAGTATGAGATCAGGTGCCAGCGTGGTTGGGTTGTAGTGAGAGCTCTCCCCTGGCTTGCTCTGACCCACTCAACATATGCATTTTATGGGGGACACAAACATGCAGTCCGTGACGGGCAAACTGATACATCTTGGTTTGGATACTTCAGAGTACATATTTTTAAAATTCATATATTTTTCCTTTTTTAATGTATTTTTATTGACTTTATTGGAGTGGCATCCTATCTAATAAAGAGGACATATGCTAATTGACTATCACATCCTCACAAAGATGGAGGTGCCAACAGCCAATAAGGAGGGAATATAGTAATTGCTCTCATGCCCTCAAAGATGGTGGTGCCCATAGCCACAAGATGGCGGCACCCATTCCCCTCAGCCCTG